CCTGGGCGGCGGGAACCCGGCAGGCAGCCCCGGGGACACCGAGCCTTCGGCGGCGCCTGCGGAAGGAAAATGCAGACCGCACTCTCGGCCATTTCGGACATTCTTGGGGGCCTCTTTCCACGTCGACTCAGTGCGAAGAGCTGGTTTCAGATCTTGACTCTTTAGGTCTGTCCTGCTAGCAATCACTACGTCAAAAATTTCACGAGGGGATCTTTTGAGAATTGGCAAGTGTGCACTTAGCCCGAAACCGTCAGGGTTCAAATTGCATAGATGTTTATTGAACCGAACCTCTTTAAAGCCTCCTTCTCTAAGTATGAAGCTCTCCTGTAGATTAGATGAGCGATACAAAGTTTTGGGAAGGATGAGAACTGAAATCTGTCTTACGGGGGGTGGGGGGGCTAAGCACTGTTTTATTTGAACAAACTATGCTGGAAGCAAGCAAAACTACTTCAATTGTACGTTAGTGACAATATGTAGAGAACCATGTGACCAGCCCATTCTCAACGCTAAATCAACACCTTGTCAACCCTGAGCAACTATAGGAGAGAAAAACAAATGTCATTTTCTCAGCCAAACCTCTATACAAACCTCCACACGATGAAATGATATTCCCAACAGATACCATATCACGGTGGGGAACTGTCAGCAACAATACATCAGCCGACAATCAGGGAAATCAGTTACTTGGTGAAGTATTCTTGAAAAATACACTTCTTATCCTCCCCCCACCCTTCATTCATTTCAGAACCTGAAATAAGACTAAGCTTCTAGACCTGACTGAAGTACATTCTCAAAGCTGCCTTGAATGGACTCTAGGAACTTGTGAAACCTGCAGTAAGATGCATCTGAGGTTTTAATTCTTAAGGAATTTTAATGCATAAGAAGGAAATACCAATCAACATACCTCAATGGCTGAAATTAAGAGCTGAGTACTAAAAAATGATGTTAAAAAAAAAATAGCCTCTCTCATTGAGCATGGCCACAGTGGCAACCAGTAACCCCAACCAGAAAACTTCTGTGTAGACTCCTCAGTTATCTTTGGATTACTTGTTTAAAAGAATGCTGTCAACAATTGTTGACATAAACCTAAGTGGGGTCATAGAGGTACTGTCCCTAAATAGTAGTAATATTTTCATCTAATTATACTTGGTGATCAAAAACCAGCCTTCATGGTGCTTAAAGACAGTTCTCCTTGTGAAATCACAGGATCTTTCTAAGAAAGATAATTCCCAAGATGATATTTCTGTTGGCCTATGAAAGTATACTACATTAAAGCCACTGATCACAAAGTTAATGAAGGGGCTCCAATAAAAAACAGCTGCCTTATTCTCCTCTACCTTACAGAATACCAACACCACACAAACACAGATATTAACAAGAACAATCGAACCTTAGTGAAGGGTAATGGACTGGGTGGCTTTGAACATTTAAGTCACATGTACTTGACCAAAACTCTTTCAAATTCATCTTAAGCCTTAATTCAGACAACCCCTCTACCTCAGTTCAGAAGAATTTGGTCACAGTCCTGATACTATTTATAATGCTAATATGTATCACTTTATAATGTATATAAAAATCAGTTCTTGATCTTTTGATGCCATTTGAAAGCACCAGTAACCTAATGAAGACTTGTAAAATGTTAGACATGCTAATAAGATTTGAGAAACAATCTCTTCTTGCAACTTAGAAATGGAAAATCTTCTAGGTTCCAACACAGAAATTTCAAGTTAAACAAGCAAAAATGCCCCAAACATAACAATGGTTAATAATAATAATAAAACCCAACAGTTAAAACTTCCCATGAAAACAAATTCAGTTGGGGCTGTCAGTTTTTAGTTGGAGGCCTAACACCAAGTAATGTCAAAGTGAAGGAAAACAGAAGCAAGTGCTTATGTTAACAATCAGCTCGCCTACTGCAATCTAAGAAATGCAAATGAACTCTATAGCCCCAGTTGAGGCTCACAGCTCAATACAAGTATGGGTAAAGTTGAGGTTAACTTGACTCCTGGGAAGAATTATGCTTATTTGGGCACTTAACATACATCCAAGAACATAGTATTAATGGATTTATCAGATAAAATTAAATGCTTAATTTTCTCACAATAGCTTGTGTGTCTGTACACACATGCGTACACAGCGACTTTTATATAGCTTTAAAAATAATGTTACTAGTTGTATAATTTACAAAGGTAGGTTATCTCAAAACACCTCTGATTGCACATTACAGATGTATGCGAATGAACTAAAGTCTAAAAAACATATAATTTTGCTCATAAAATCAACTTGAGAGGGATTTCTGATCAGTCTACTAAAAACTCAAACGTTGACACAGTCTCATAACTTGGTATGTTCTGTCAACAATTTGCATCTTTAAGTACCAAGTCTTTAGTGTAGTTCATGATGTGTTTCCAGAATTGGGGGTTAAGGTTCCTATGAAATATAGGTTGAACTACCCATAATATTCTACATACCAGCGACCTACACTTGCATTTGGGTAAATATGCTCGGAATTTTGCCTACTTTAAGGGAAGGGGTTAATACATGCTTCTCTTTCAAATATTGAACCGTGACCACTAAGCCCACTAAATCCTTTTACTGCAATTGGGAATGATCAAAGTCCCTCTACTTGTTTACTTCCAATTATTAACTGTAAATCTCTGGGAAAAGATCATACTATATCGCTGTCAAGCCTAAATGACTGGGTAAACACATGCCATCAACTTTTTAGTGCCCTCTTCCCAAAGCATCCCTTTGCCAAATGACCTATGTTGACATTTAGCAAAATCTATAAAGCGTAGCAGACTTGAGTCATGATTCCGAGGGCATCCCATAGTAGAGACTGAGAGAAAAGTTGTAGTCTCCGAGAAGGAAAAAAGGAAAAAGAGAGGAAAAAAGTAGAGAAAAGGAAACCTCCAGCAAGACTAACGTCCAGTCATCACCTTCACTCCAAAAAAAAGCTCCAAATTTGAAATGCCCAGTTTCCAGAGAGCACTTCCCAAGTGATGTCCAGACCACTTAACCAAGACTCCCACCAAATACCACCTTGAAAACTTTACCATTTTCAACACAAATGCAGGAGACCTTAGAAGCAACTGGGAACCGCCATCTTACAAGCCATCCAATTTCACACAAGTGTCCCTCCAACTTAAGTTAATAACATTTTCGCGGGGGCTCTCTCCAGCCTAACGCCCACGTAGGCGGGATCGCTGCCCCCCAAGTAACCCGTCCCTATAAAATGGGGGCGTTCTCTGGAAGTTTAAACCCCTCAAAAGCCCTTTCTTCGGGAGAGGAGGGAAGCCACTTGACCCAAGCAGCTCCCGATTTCAGGAACCCATCCCGGTTTCATCAAAATCTACCTCTCAACAAAGGGCGCTGTGACCAGGAGAGCCATAGAGGCTGGAAATACAAGTGTTCTCCTCGGGGGCCATGTGCGTCGCGAGGGTGCAGAGGGGCGCTCGGGGGAGAAAGGAACTAAAACGTGGGGCCGCGCGCAGCGCGTCCGGGG